CCATGGCACCGCCTGCCGCCACCCCCAGTGCCGAGTCGGGGTCCCGCTCACAACCGCACCCACCCGGCGGCGATCGCCCCTCGCTCCCGGGGCATCACCGGGAGCGCCGCGGCTGCACCGGTTCCGCGCTGCCGAGCCGAGGGGAGACCAGGTGTCAGGCTGCGGGCTGCTGAGCCCCGGTGCATTTTGCCCTTGCTGGCGGGTGTCCCCCGTTACAGCAGGGGATGGGCTCCGGCTGGTTTTCAGACTGGACCCTGGGCAGGGCTTTGTAGCCGCCCCTCAGCACGCCAGCCTCGGCCCTGCGGGCAGCCCCCTATCACAGGGGTGTCTTGAAGGCATATGCCGTCTAAACACACACACCGGGCTGGTTTTGCAGCAGCGCTCCCCACAGCAGTATGCTCAGGTCACGGCTGACGAGGCCCCGTCTTCTGGCAGGACCTGCAGGCACAGCGTCAGGAAGGACCCTCCGGCACAGCGTCAGGAAGGACCCTCCGGCCTGCTGCAATGTGCTGCTATGGTGCAGGGTCGGGAGCCCGTGTCCTACATACCAGGAGCGGCTGAGGGAACTGGGGGGGTTTAGTCTGGAGAAGAGGAGGCTGAGGGGAGACCTCCTGGCCCTCTACAGCTCCCTGACAGGAGGGTGCAGAGAGGGGGGATGAGTCTCTTGAACCAAGGAACCAGCGCCAGGACAAGAGGAAATGGCCTCAAGCTGTGCCAGGACAGGGTCAGGCTGGCTCTGAGGAAGGATTTCTGTGCAGAAGGGGCTGTTGGGTGTTGGAATGGGCTGCCCAGGGCAGGGGGGAGTCCCCATCCCTGGAGGGGTTGAAGAGTCGGGTTGACTCAGCACTGAGGGATCTGGTGGAGTTGGGAACGGTCAGGGTGAGGTTCATGGTTGGACTGGAGGAGCTTCAAGGTCTCTTCCAACCCAGAGGATTCTGTGATTCTGTGAATGTCTGGCCCCTCAGAACAGCTGTCCTGGCAGGCAAGGGAGCCCCTTGCACCTCAGATACATTCATTTCAACCTGCCGGTTAGCTCTGTGAAAAGCCAAGTGAATGTTGCTCATGTGGTTAGTTACCCTTGCATTTGTTTTTGGTAAATAAGGACATGGGTCATCTTGCAGAGCAAGGCTGGCAGATGTGACTGTGCTGAGTAGCCAGAAGTTGGTATTAAGGAGCGATGTCAAAGTGAGGCTACATCCCAAAGTGTTTTAGTGCTATAAAACAAGAAATGAAGTAGTATTTTGATGGCAAAGTCAAATATCCTGTGCTAAATTCTGGGTTCGATTGTATAAGCATAGCAACAGTGCTTACCTCCCATTTTTTATCTGAATTTTACTTCATATTGGAACCATGCATGCTTTTTTTTTTCCCCCATTATTCTGCTGTTTCAAAATTAGCTCATTTTTCACCACATTAAAGTTTTCTTGCTATTCCATAAGCTGTATATGCTGAAAACAGTAATCTTTCTATATACAGTGGCCTATAAAATAACATTTAAATAATTAGTTAATATTTCAGTCTCTCTTCTGCTAAGGAAGAAAAACAAACAACTGAGCAGAGTTGAAACTGAGAGACCTGACAATGTCCCTGAAAAATAATGACAGAGATATTTATAGGGGGTTTGATGATTTATTTAATGACATTTTCAGTCCATGACTAAGACGTAAGCCAATGCCTCCTCAATTATCTTTTAATTCTTACAACCTCAGCATTCTTCATGCTGCTGTTTGCTCAAGCTGGATCCATTATGATTTGGAATTGGTTTGTCTTCATTAATTAGCATGCTAGTACTTTAATATCTTGATCAAAGTCAAACCCATGCAAAAATAATAAAATTTGCACCAGTTTATTAAATCTTGTGCTATTTTATTTCATACTAAGAAAAATAAAGAATGGGCAGTGGAGACTGAAATATTAGGATGATGTACTTCCATCACCTACACATCCCTTAGGTACCATGGCAGTATATGCTATAAAAATCCAGCCAGCAGAGAAATGGCAAGCTTTTTGTGAACCATGGTGTGCTGGATTTGTGAAAATTTAAATGCCGTTAGTTTGTTAGACAAGTATCAGAAGCAAACCCAAGAGCAGAAGAAGGGTATGCACATGTGTTTGTCAGTGTGACACCTGCACGCTGCTGATTTTAGAACATCCCCTTTTCCCATTAGTCAGGTGCATTAAATCCTGACAACAGCTGTAAGGGAAATTCATGCTCCTGAAAAAAGGTTGGATGTAAGAGATGGTTTCTTGTAAGATGCTGAGTACAGATAACATGCATTATATTAGAGGTAGCAATGTTAGCTATTGTGTTGGTTTTATGGGTTTTTTAATGAGATGAAGTCTTCCTGTTTGGAAAAGAAATCCTTCTGTCTGTGCACATTTCCCAAATGAAATACAAAGCAATTTCCAGAAGCTCTTTCTAAAGGGCGGTTCTGATAAAATTATTTGCTGAATTGGATTAGTAAAAATACTCCCTGATTAATCAGGTTTAGGAAAAAAATCTCTATGCTAAATATGAAAGCTTGCACTGTGAGCGAGAAGAGAGAACTATGCAAATGCATACGCTCTTCTTCTAGGGTGCAGAAGTAACACATCTGGAAAAAGAAGGAAGAAAATCACTGCCTGTGTCCAAAGGTGCCTCAGCCTGGAGCACATGATACTGAAATAAGGCACAGAGGTGAGGAAAGCCTAAAGTACTGATCAAAGTTGAAAGAACACAAAGGGAAAGATGTTTACATTCACTGTAAAATCAGTTGACAAATTGTTCTTTTGTGAGAATTTTAAAGAATGATGGGTTTGGTAGCCAATGATGGTTTTGTAGTATGTTTGCCTTCTTATTCTGAAAAAGATACTGGGCAGGTTCTTATTCTTGAACACTGGTGTGTGAATTTTAGTATAAAAATATGCATAATAAGCCCAGCATCCTAAACCATATTATATTTTCATAAATATGATTTCAAGACCTTCCTGAAAGAAGAGGAATGTCCTGTCGTAACTGGGCCTCTTTGTACTTGGAGGATTTATAAACTGGAGATTTCGTTCTCCTCTTGCATTTGTGTAAAGTGAAAACCTTTATGTCACATGGAGCTACACTAGCAGAAGCAGTCTGAGTGTCAGACCCTGTAGCTTTACAGAGACAAAGAATAACAGAATCTCTCAATTAAGGGACTCAATTAATTTCAAGACTGAAAGTGTGTAAGAAGAAAGGGAAAGAGATGTTGAGAGAAGGTGGTGGTGGAGCAAAGAGGTGGGAAGTAAAAGCACATGCCAAAACCTAAGTAATGACAACAGAATATTACAGAAGGAAGTCTGAGTTGTGATGGTTAAAACCCGAATTACTTTCAGATATGGTAGATAAATTGAGAAGATTGCAAAGTATGGGAAAGAATGAAATCAAGGGACAGCTGTTACATTCCATCTATGTACTTCTTAAATCTTGAATACCACAAAATTCAGTGAATTTAATCTCAGATAAATTCAGGGAAGCGCACTTAAGTTACTTGCTTCTTCTAGGGGGTTTCATTTGATCAGAGCAAGCTGATGTCCCTGTATTGCACAGTTGCTGAGATGTGTCATGACAGCACATGTATGTGATGATATGACAAGAGTCAGCTGATACTGTCATCATGGATACTTTAAATAACATTAAATACCTGAACTAGGACAACGGAAATAGCTGCAGGATGTTGATGGGAGCAGGAAGTACCACTCTCTGTGACTTCATCTCACTTTTTAAGGTCACAGAGAGCAATCATCAGTCTCTATGTAGTGGACTAAACCACAGCACAAAGGTTTATATTGAGCCTTTGTCCCCTCTCATGTAGGATCTCAATTGCCATATAGGATTGTAGTATGATTTGCTTATGTGTTTGTTAGCAAGTAATCAGAAACACTGGCAGGGTTTTTGACTGTCTTAAGATCCCTAAATGAGACAACTGACTACAGTGGAGCCAGAATCTCATTGTCTAATCCTGGCCAAAGGATCCTGAGTGCACGAGTAAAACTCAGGCATGTGGTGTGAACACTTCTGAGAGCAGAGCTTTCTGTTCCGTGGTGTCCAGCTGGTAGAAGGCAACACACTGTATTGTACCTATACTTCTCCCACAGCCCCAGGCTTTCTGATGCTATCCTTAGATCATTTCTTTCAGTCCTGGAACTTTCACTCACCAAATTTGCATTTCCTAATCAGTTAACTTGCCTGGGGCAGTGAGAGTTCTTATTTGCAAGTAATGCCATACCATATCTTTGATACAAGCTTTTGCAACCCCTTTGTTGTGCAAATGCAGGCATATAAATCAAGTAAACCAATTGGTTTCAGTAGAATTATCATAAGAGTTAAGTGCTATGTCACATGAGTACTGCTCTCTGAGAGGCAGATTCTGCAGTCCAGTCCAACTTTTTTTTTTTGAAGGAAAGAGGGTAGCAGCACAAGTCACTAGTTAAACCAAGGAGATAATCACTTTCCTGTTCAGTTTAGCTGCAAATGTTTGAGATTCAGCAATAGTATCAATGATACATCAGAATTATATTTACATCTCGAAGTATTGTCCCTTTCCACATGGAGAAAGGGAGGAAGACTGTGTCATATTTTGCAGCCAGGAGAACAGCCACGGAAGTGAAGGGATTTAGGGAAACCAACCATCCTATGAGAAGGGTCTTCTGGCTTCCAGCTTCTAGCCAAGGGTCTCTTAGCACGAAGGCAGCGATGTCAGCAGGGACTCTGGCCTGCTTGTAGAATGAATTTCAAAATCTTTTAAGCACCTACTAAAAAGGAGTATTGAGGTGATAAGATAAACTGGATGTTATAGCTGCTATTGCAAACAGCATTTTTGACAACCAACATGAAAATACAAGAATTTCTAGAACTCTTCAATATTTTTTCCCAGCTTTCATTCACTGTGTGAATCTCTGTTATTATGCGGGAGTGGATTCAGCAATTTCC